CTTACTTACTTACTTAAAATCTTATATCAGCCAAAAAAGTCTTTTTGATCTTGTTTTGAGACTGATTTACTAAACAAGAACTGATTAAATAAGAATAATCATCTTGTTTTCAGAATGTGTAAGATTATTTGTCTTGTTATTCTGAAAATTTGACTCAAATTAAGTCAAAGTTTTCTGCCAATGGAATAAGAAAGTTTACTTGATAAGATTCTTGAAATAAGAAAAAAATGAGTCAAATCAAGTATTTTAAGAATCTTACCAAGTAAAACTTTCTTATTCCACTGGCAGAAAATTTTGACTTAATTTGAGTCAAATTTTCAGACTAACAAGACAAATAATCTTACACATTCTGAAAACAAGATGATTATTCTTACACAATCAGTTCTTGTTTAGTAAATCAGTCTCAAAACAAGACCAAAAAGACTTTTTGGCTGATATAAGGTTTTAAAACTTGGTAAGATGGACATTTTTTACAGTGAAGGATTCAGTTTTACACAGCGTCTCAATTTCATTTGTATTGATGTTTTACTTATTTTAATATTTTATTGTTCTGTGTTCTTTGTTTATTGTCTTCTGATGCTTTTAAACTAACTAATTTTATTGTTTTTATTTAAAATTTCATCTTTTATATTGTTTTATGTGCTTTATAGATATATTTAAGAGTGAAAATGAATTTTTTCTTGATCCAGAGCAGTTAAGACCCCAGTTTATCCTGACTGATCCAGGAACAGAACCTGCTGATCCGAGCCCCCCCATGTTGACTCTGTCAGAGATTTACTCCTGTTAGCATCTGTCGCTAGGCTTAGCGCTAGGCCTCCTGGCTTTGTTTCTTCATCCCCCCAGGAACAAATGGCCCAATTAGAACCCTGATTKGGTTTAAATGTGGGGGCAGCCAGGTGGGCCGGAGCTGCCACTGTGCTGCTGAAGACTAAAAAAAACTTCCACTCTTCTGGGTTTGAAGACTTTCTGCACATGTCCTGTTGTCAGTAAATCCAGTGGACAGGTCTAACAGGACCAAGGATCTGTTCTGTAACGGGTCACCTCAGAATGAGTGTAAACAGTTTGGATTTAAAACCGGTTTGTTAAAAAGCTCCGGTCAGGTTGGATGAACCAGCTGACAGTTKAGTGTAGTTTTTATTGTTTTTAATAAAACTGCCTGTTTGACCTGGACGGAGGGCAGGAGTAATAAAAACATGAAACAAGACTTCTGAGATGATCCGTCCCCCCCAAGCCTCGCTGTGGGAGGAACCGTCCCCCCAAGCCTCGCTGTGGGAGAAACCGTCCCCCCGAGCCTCGCTTTTGGGAGAAACCGTACCCCCGAGCCTCGCTGTGGGATGAACCATCCCCCCCAAGCCTCGCTGTGGGAGGAACCGTCCCCCCCCGAGCCTCGCTGTGGGAGAAACCGTCCCCCCGAGCCTCGCTGTGGGAGAAACCGTCCCCCGAGCCTCGCTGTGGGAGAAACCGTCCCCCCGAGCCTCGCTGTGGGAGAAACCGTCCCCCGAGCCTCGCTGCGGGAGAAACCGTCCCCCCGAGCCTCGCTGTGGGAGAAACCGTCCCCCCGAGCCTCGCTGCGGGAGAAACCGTCCCCCCGAGCCTCGCTGTGGGAG